TTCATTAATTCTTTTATTTCAAGAAGTCTAGTTTTAGTTGCCAAAAAAGTGATTTATTAAATAATTATGTAAATTATAAAGAAAAAAATTTACAAAAAAATTTCAACATAATGCTAGTAAACCTATCTAAGTGTAGATCTTCTTAGAGCGGTTTAGATGATATAATTAGACGTATATTTCATAAGACATATAGTATTTTCGGTTGTTAAATCGTTTATGTAATATTTTTGATAATTGTACTATCATAATTAGGGTTGGGCAAGCAGGGTCCCAATCGGGTTTCGGTTCAGGTTCATTCGGGTTTTGAGTTTTTGGGTTCATGAATTTCCGCCTCATTCGGGTATTATAAAAATTCATGTCGGATTCGATTTGGGTTTAGTCGGGTTCTGTTCAGGTTTAGTAACATGTCCAAGATACGGTTGAACCCGAAATAGTTTTGATTTCGGATACTAATCGGGTTATCGGTTCTAAAAATACTAATTTATACTCAATTAAACTCACTATATTTTCAATCATTTTATTAAATTTGTGTATTTAGCTTCTACAAACCATATTGTTCTCCTTCAAAATAATATTGTGAAACTCGTCTATCAACCATATAAGATTTTTCATTGAACTATATGTGACAACACTAAACATATCATGATTAGTGACAAACCAAAGTCTTGTATGAACGAAAATCATGTATAATAAAACATAAAAAGTTAATGTTAACAACTAACAATTCTATAAACATAAGAAATACTATTTAAACTTAAAAAAACAACACTGTTTAAACTTCAAAAAAATTTGTTCATAACAAAACTTCAAATGTAATGTCAATCATAAACATTAATATTGACCAATAACACTATATATTAGACTAAATATTTGAGTTAATTATTAATATCATAACTAATTATTGTAGGTACTCAATAATATATTAATATGTTTTGGAAACATATTATTAGAAATTTAGATTGGGTATGATACAAAGTTTTTTTGGAATTTTAAAGTTTCGGGTTCTTTCGGATATCCATTTATGTTCGGGTTCGGTTCGGGTAAAACCCATAACCCGAAATACTGTAAAACAAAATCTATTTGATACTTATGTCGGATTCGGATCGGTTCGGATTCCTTATCCGGTTCAGATTTTTGGGTTTTTTTTTTGTCCAGCCCTAATCATAATAAATCATCAACGCTCCTTTTCTGGATAACAAAAGATTTTGTATACAATTATAAAATCATCATTTTAATAACACTAAATTTTAATAAGCATATGAAAATCTATAACACTTTAAGTTCTAATAATCATTATAAATGTAAATTCCATTTAACTTCATTTATTATGATATTAGTACAACCGACCTACTTCCACTTCGTATCATTCAATACACCATTCCCTGCTTTAAGGTTTACAAAATCTAGACTTATAAAAAGGTGGTCGATTCTGACTTATTCTGACTTATTCCAATAAGTTGGTAGAGTAAACATGAAAAGTTGTATATATGTTGAGCATTAGACTCATTGATCAATACACATAAATCTTCAGTACTTGCTTACCTTTAACAATATAGAAATCTGTTTCTTCATCTTTCATATTGGTTAATTCTTCTTCTGTGATCACTGCCATGACAACACACTAACATATATATAATAATTTTACTAGAGTAATGGTTCAAAGATACAGACGTAACACTACAAAAATCTTGTAAAGTAAAACATACAACTAGAATTTCACCCGCACATCCGTGCGGATATATTTTTTATTTTATAAATATATAACTAATTTTTTTTAATATATGATTTATATTTTAGTTTTAATTATAATCATATCTAATAACGAAATAAAGAAATACTTATTTTATAAAAAATATATTTAAAATTTTTGGTAAGATCTTGTTTGATTTTTTCAACAGATTTTGTTATATTTAAATTTATTTATTATTAATGTTCTTATTAGTTATTAAGATATTGTGAAAATCATATATATTTGACTGGTTAATGTAACAATAAAATATGTCAATTAAGTAATTAATAACATGGTCCAACATGACTTCTAAATAGTAGATAAATTTGGTACTTGTCTTTTAATAGAGAAGATTGTAAATCATGACTTCAAAGAAACAAAAAGCTGTTCTAACTAACAACTATTCATACTGAACTGAGTAATCAATATTAGCGAGAGCTGATTAATCCAAATCCAGTTTATTATAAATCAATTAAATTCAAAAACAGCCTCAAATATCATTGAAACAAATAACTATAAAATTAAAACAACGATCACTTATAGATGAAACAATGATGAGTTCTAGCCAATACTGGTTTGGATCCAATCGAAGCATTCTTCTATCGTCATATGTGCAAAAAGTTGTGTTTCAATGGGTCAATTAGGTGATGTTATAGTTTACGTCAAGATCTTTTTCGCAAAATTTTAGAAAGATTTTTTTATCTATTACCTCCAGAAGGAGAACTTTTTTTTGAAAAAGAACATATTATGCAAATCCAGAATAGTCATTAAAAATCTATATAAATCAATACAAATTTTTGGATAGAAATTTATAAAATATTTGTTAGATTTTTTTTTTTTTGACTGAATAATGCATTAAAATGGAAAAGACCTCAGGCCCAAGTTAACCCAGACGTGGGCCTGATACAAGTGAGCCCCTTAGGACTGATTTTGCAAGAGCGTCGGCATCTAAATTGAAATTGCGAGAAACATAAGAAAAGGAGATATCGACGAGAACAGAGGCGATTTGTTGGATGTCTTTTACCACACCATAAGTTTCCTTGATCTGAACGTCGTTGTTGATTGCTCTGATGAGCGTTGAATTATCGGAGAACATCTTGATCCTGGTGAGGTCGAGATTTGTTGCTGCGATGAGTCCCGATCGGAGGGCCAAAGCCTCGGCGATTAACGGGGAGTTGATGTGGTCCATGCATGCCGATCCTTTGTAGATTTGTTGTTCCTGTGGTACTGAGATGATCCAGCCTAGACCCGCTTTGTTTGAGGATTGGCACCAAGCCGCATCCGATTTGCATGTTTATCTTCGAAAATTTGTAGGTTTCGAGACGTCCAAATCGACCAGCAGATCCAAGGTAGTATGCTTCCTACAACTCCTGATGGTGGTAGACATAGCGCTTGTCTGAATTTGACCAACACTTCTTTGAAATTTGTACATGTAGCTAGGTGAAATACGTTGTGAAGCGGGACTAGTTTCCACACTTCTTGGGCAAAAGGGCAAGAGATGAAGGTATGGATCGCTGACTCCCTTTCCTTACATCTAAGACATATTCCTTCTGTTTGGATTCCTCTATGATAATAGATTGTCTCCTAGAGACAACGCTTGTTCGATAATAGACCAAAGGAAAACTTTCATTTTTGGGGAAAAATAACCTGACCATATATCTTTGATCCAGCTGAAGTCGTTTGCCGGTGCCATTTGAGTGGGATGCTTAGCCAGGGCTGCTGAGTTGTACCCTGATTTAGTGGAGTAGACGCCTGATTGCAACGGTTGCCAAACAAAAATGTCCTCTGCTCCTTCCCGACTTGGATGAATGCTTTGGATTTGAGTTGCATATTAAGGTAAGAACTCCTCAATTCTTGCAGAGTTCCATTTTAGATCATCCGTCAATAGGTTAGCGACTGTTAGATCCATTGCTTTCTCTGAGATAGGTCCATAGATCTTTATTTGCTCTGTTAGAGATAGCCAGGTATCCTGCCATACTCTTGTTGTTTGGCCATTTCCTATCGCTTTGCCAATGTTGCCTTTTAAAAGATCTCGACCATGTAGGATGCTTCTCCATCCTTGGGAGCAAACTGTTGGGACTTTTACCTCTAGGAAAGATTGCTTATGACAGTATTTACCTAGGCGAATTCGTGATAACAGACTTTCGGGGTTAGTTAGAATTCTCTAGGCCTGTTTTGCTCGAAGTGCTTGATTGAATAGTTGTATGTCTCTGAAGCCTAGTCCACCGATAGCTTTAGGTTTAGTGAGTCTATCCCAAGGTACCCAACACATTTTCTTTTTTTGTATTAGAGTCATCCCACCAATATCTGGTCAAAACTGATTGAATCCTTTTGCATACACTCGCAGGTAGTTCAAAATAAGACATGGAGTAAGTAGGGATTGCAGTGAGCACTGATTTAAGCATTGTTAACTTCCCTGTCTTAGAAAGAAATCTTGTTGAGGTCGTGTTAGATTTACTTAACTTCTAAAAATCTATCTAACTTTTTCGAAAATCACTAGACTCCTTCCGAATGGGCTCCAGTCCTGAATTAGGGTCTGGAAGATAATATATTAGGTGCACATGTTGGGTAATGTATGTTCGTTGGTGGATATACTTTCGTGAAAAAGCAATAGAGATTCTAACAACTGTGTTGTGTTCCGGTGAAGATCATGCCTATCAAAACTGTGGTCCTCTAGGTACCAAAGTGGCTATGCTATTGTTAGTTATGATGCCCCTCATACCCCAACAATTGGTCTCTAAAGTAAACTTTGAAATTTGTATCTGTGTTTCTTCAATTGCAGTGGTGCCTATATAAACATATCTACTTTTCAAATTTGTATATTTATCTCTTAAGTACAATATTAAGTTACTCTCTGCAACGCTGGACGCATGGACTGCATTCATGTGGGTGATCTTGTTCTTCACCCTGCAGAATACCGGACACAGAAGTAGACCACTGCCCTCTTGCTTCCTGCCCCCACGGCTCCTGGATTCAGAGAAAGGCTATTCCGTTTTCTAGATTCACAAACTCCATTAAATTCTAACATAAACATGTTTTGCTATTTCTATTGTTGCTTCTTTCTGTATAGCGTTTTCTACAGCTAGATAGTGGCCATCAGAATGCAGTAAACTATGCTCTAGATTTGAAATTTGAGATAATGGAGAACTAATTTGAGAAGGTCTTTGCATTGACGTAATCTATTGCTATACACCATTATATTTGTGATCTGCAGATGCTTTGTTACACAAGTTGCAGAGAAGCATATGATCATCTTCACACATGACTGCGCTAGATTTGGAAGCAAACAATTATATAAGACTGGCAGGTGTAACAGCTGTTCTGAAACTTGAAAGCCACATAACAAAACCAAAAAGAAGATTTGCCCGGCCTTACAAGTGAATTCGTTCCTGCATACTTCTCTTCTAAATTATGCTAAAAAAAACAAAACAAAAAAATAACAAAAAACAAAAAACACTGACACTGACTGAGTACTGCATCTTCCTTACTGCTGGTAAACCTTAGTGACAACTTTAAAGACAACAAAATGGGCTGCGTATTGAGGGAATACTTTGCTAGCGACCACTATTCTTGGCATGTATCATGAGTTAAATTTTAAAGAGTAAACTAGATAAGATCATGTAAAAAAGATGATTCACCTCTGCAGGGACTTGTAGAGCACCACAGTTACATACTTTGCTAGAAAGCGGTTAGTGGAACCAAGTGCAACCACAGAGGGACCGCTCTTGCCCTTCTGCATGTAAAGATGATTGAGAATGACATGCTGAGGTCTCGGGAGCGGAGATGGAATCTCAGGGTTGGGTGGCGGCAGGTTCAGCAGCGTCATCTGTAGATGCGGTGGAACCAAAGGCGGTTCTTTGGAGTAGTCTTCGGCTCCCAGAGGCAAGTTGCTGTAACTAGCCTCTGGAGATTGTGGAGGCTCAAATCCAGATATGCTTTGTATGTCTTCAGGAACATAGTCCTACCATACACAACAAAGCATCTCATCAGTCTATTCTCAAGACACAAATCGAAAAAGGTCAACTACAAACCCTGGTTTGGTTTTAACTGGTCTATGTTCTCTTTTGAAATCATTACAACATGGAAAGAGAAAGGAGAGGTTACCTGGAGGTCCAAAATGTTGAAGGTGTTACCAGCATCATCACGAGCCAAGGGGAGCTCAGGGGCATGCCTCCTTTGTCCATCGACAATGAACCTGTACTCATAGACTCCTGAAGGCAGCACTTTCATTATAGTAAAGTCTTTCCCAGATCTCTGCAGCCGACTTCTTACACCCCATAACAAGAACAAGAACAATTAGAGATTTGAAATGAATCTAAATGAATTTAAAAGCTAAAAAAAAACCTTGACTTCCAATTGTCCCATGAACCCTCCACAGAGATATCGTTTCCGCCATGGGACCATGTGATCATAGTGGGGATGCCTTGCTCGTCGGAAGCCTCTTCATGCATCCAGGATGGGTTTGGGATTTGGATTTCATCTGGTCTTTGCAGAGGAAGCACCGGAACCTAAACAAAGACACAAACTTTCAGATCTTTATTCAAAGGTGAATCTGAAGGGGGACAGAACAGAACCTGAGGAGCGAACATAAGAGGAGATGGAGTGGATCGTGGAGGAGATTGACCCATGAGCTCAGGGGTTGCTTGATGAGAGCAAATCTCAGCGTCGTTCTCGTTGTCGTTGTCCTTGTGGTGGTTACTATTGGCTTCTTCTCTGGCGTTCACGTTACCCATATCCCACACAAAACCAAAAGAAAGGGTAATCTATCTCTCTAACCTCTCTCTGCTTTTTATTACAGTAGTAACCAGATGCCACAATCTATCATCTCTCTCTTAAATGGATCTCATCAGAGTTTTACGGACACACTTGATCCTTAACAAGGACAGGACCCGCGTTTAAAGATTCGTGCTTTTCGTACAAACTTGATCGAAACAGGTAGGGACGGAGAATTTTAGCGGGGAACAGTAAAAGCGTCCTCTTCAGATCAGAAACTAAACCCTTTTTACAAAAGAGAGCAAAAGGACCAATCTTTGATTCAACTCAGGACTCAAACCCAACAACCTTTGTTTCTTTTCCTTGTTGTTTCTCATACACTTTCCGTCTTCCCCCACTTACTCTTCCCTCATTCTCTTACTTTACCTTCTTTATTGCTTCTGTTTGTTGCGATTTGTCCCTATAATTTTAATTTTGTTACTAATTACCCCACAGATTTGGTTTCAATGATATGAATAGATCGTTTAACCACATGTGGATTGGAATATAGTAAAACTATCAAATTATTACACTAGTGGTTGGCCGGTCCTATGTGCAGGATTCTTTATAATAGTTTATATACATAGTTTAAATACTAAAATGTATTTTAGTGAATTTATCAAATTTTATTATAATTTTAAAAATATTTATAAAATTATAATTTTTTAATTTTAGCTTCACTTTGTACATCATTGATTACGAGGTTTAGATAAATAAAATAGTTAGTAAAATTTAAAATATGCATGAAGGTCGTATCAATCTTCCCATTAAATATTTTATAACTTGAGGTATTAGGTTTTGTTGTTTTGCTAAGACTTTATAATAATTGATCTTATATTTTGGAAATGGTTATCAAAACAAAAATATTTTTAAATCACTAATACTCTAAAATTGTGTATATAAAATATTTAGATTTTAAAAGGATGTATTAACCCTTTGTATTATAAAGCATCTAAAATTTAAAATCAACGTAAGAAATATTCAATAGATGAATTATCCTATTTTTAAAATTATATAATTATATACATAAACTTTTGACTTTAATTATATAAAGATAAAAATAAAATTAATTCCATATTTGAGTATTTGTTTTTTAATTAAGATAATTAATTTAAATCAATCTAAAACTTCATTACCATAAATTACATAATTTTTACTTAATGAATGATTGCATAAAAATCATTTTTTGAATTAAAATTTTCTATTAAACTATAGGAGAAAATTATAAACTCAATAATTACGATTTTCTATTTTAGTGAATCTTTATGAATGACTATACCGTTTTCCGCGCTACGCACGGATTAAGTACTTTAAATTTCTAATTATGTGAATGTATTTATATAAATTTTATTTTTTTATTTTTTTACATTTTTTCTTTTAAGAATTCCTATTTCTCATATATTTTTTATATTTGACTCACACAATTGAAAATTAACAACAGTTTCTTTTTCTATGTATAGTTGCTTTTGCATTTTCTACTAATTTAAAACTATGAAAATTATTTGACCTAAATATTTTTAATTGTGGATGTGTTTTCTTACTTTTATGCGTTTTATTTATTATAGTAAAATAAAATGATAATTTCTCATTAAATACTAATATATATTTTAGAAATTGATCATGTAACTTAGTATTTTTTGGTACTTATTATTATGTATATTTATTAATTTTTTTTGTTCAAATATCATTACTATTTTATGTCATATTAAAATTATATTTGTTGGCTAATCTAGGAAATTAAATTTCAAGAACTGCTTCTACTTTTTGTTCTTATTTTTGGTGCATTGTTAACCGAAAAGAGCTGTAAGTATTTCTCTGCTGAATAAACTTTATAACTATTATGTTCCCCTTTTAAATGTAAACTAGATCTCGACCCGCGCAACCGCGCTGGTGTTTCATGTTTGTTTTCATTTATTTTTATAGAAACATTTTATTTTCAATTATTTTTAAACAATTTTTTTTCACTTTATATATGAGATGTGTATATCCATTTTAAAAGATAATAATTTTATCATATATTAGTTTTTCATCGAATAGATTGTTTCAAATCTTCACATGTATTTGTATCTTCTTCTATATATATTGTTTTGAATTATTACTATTATTACATTATTGAAGTCGTAAATATATGTAAAGATTGGTAAAATATTTTTTTTACTGTCATCTTTAAAGATATTTTCACAGTTCTCAAATTTAGAAAGTTAAAAAAAAACTTCTAGCTTCATATTATGGTGTAAATAATTAAAAATTTAGTTTTTTTTATTTTTTACATAAACTATAAAACTTAAAAATGTTTTCATTGGTTTAAGATAGTATAGATTAATAATTGTTAGAAAATGATGATTTTTATTATTTTACAAAATAAACTATATAATTTTAAAAGTTAACATCGACAAAATATAAATAATTAACTTATGAAAATATACTATTACACAACTAAATTATATATATATATATATATATATATATATTTAATTAAACATGTGTCTTATTTTACTATCTATAAATCTAATGGGTTATCCAATTATTGTTAGTTCAATAAAAGTTTTGTTGAGTCCACAATTATAGGTAACTAATTATAATGTTATTAATTAATAATTGAATAATGTAATGAGATAAATTCTAGTAGATGGTCCATTTTAAAATATCACACATTAAAAGAGTCATGACTTCTCTTTTAATATATTAGATGACACTATCGTAAATATTTTATAAATTAAAGGAAACTCATAAAAGATATTATGCTTTAATAGTATAGAGTATCAAATACATATATCCACAATTGAGTTTGATGGTTTAGTTTCAACAGATGGGGGTAAACAATAAAAAAAAATGATTTGGGGTTTAGGGTTATGTGAGTTGGGACTTACTTATTGAGTTATGATTGTATATGTTACATATCATTTTGAAAACTATGAAACGTTGAATTTGGTGTGTTATTTGGTGTGCTATTAGGACTATGAAGGTGCGGATTTCAATACATATTGTCACACACACAATAACATCTACTTAAAATACACATAGTTTACGGTTAGCACGATACCAACTACTTTATATCCAATGAAAAACATATGGTCTAAGAATGGTATGCTAAAATATAAATAATATATATAGTTTCTTTTATGCTTAGACGATTTAGTTGGAAGAAATAGATAAATAAGGCGATAAATAAGGTAATCTATTCTTTGTTGGAAAATAAAGATTTTCCTGGAACCATAATTTTAGGTTTTATCTAATTAATGGAATGAAATCACATGATTAATAGAATATACCTAGTATAACAATGATAAGATTAGATAATTTAATGTAATCTTTCTTTCTAGGAATATGTCCAAAATTTAAAAAATCACACATGAAATCAAATCATGATTTCTGTTTTAATATATAAGTTGGGACTTACTTATTGAGTTATGATTGTATATGTTACATGTCATTTTGAAAACTATGAAACGTTGAATTTGGTGTTTTATTTGGTGTGCTATTAGGACTATGAAGGTGCGGGTTTCAATACATATTGTCACACACACAATAACATCTACTTAAAATACACATAGTTTACGGTTAGCACGATACCAACTACTTTATATCCAATGAAAAACATATGGTCTAAGATGGGTATGCTAAAATATAAATAATATATATAGTTTCTTTTATGCTTAGACGATTCAGTTGGAAGAAATAGATAAATAAGGCGATAAATAAGGTAATCTATTCTTTGTTGGAAAATAAAGATTTTCCTTGAACCATAATTTTAGGTTTTATCTAATTAATGGAATGAAATCACATGATTAATAGAATATACCTAGTATAATAATGATACGATTAGATAATTTAATGTAATCTTCCTTTCTAGGAATAGGTCCAAAATTGAAAAAATCACACATGAAATCAAGTCATGACTTCTGTTTTAATATATAAGATTAGGACTGCCTAAACTCAAATTATATATTTAACCCTAAAATACAGCAGATTCAAATCTGAATAAGTAAAACCAACTATGTCTTTTGAACTAAAATCGTGGAGGCTATAGATTTTTTAGCTTAGCTCGGCACAAGCCTAAATCAGTTTTACAAGATCTTACATTTTATTAGTTTGTATGTATATTTGTATGTGAATGCACACATATTCTATAAATTACTTATAAAAAAAACAAAACTACTAATATGTAACTACTAACTTAATGCTGTCCAAATTTTTAATAATATAACATGTATACATATAGTTAGACTTATATGAGCAACTGGATTTATAATACCAAATTTAAATAATCTAACAGAAATATTATTTTACATAGGTGGATTACTTATTAATTTTTTTATAAACTTTGGTTAATTATGTTATAGAAATATTGCAATTCACACCTGATTGTTTTTTTTTTGCTATCATGTTATAAATCTCATGCAATTATCTTTCTCTATTAAACTGTAGTTCATATTTTTAATATTCGAAACTCAAATTTACTGTTGTCAAATCATTAATGAACCATTAGTCAAAATACATTGATAAACACATTGTGCCATTTTATTGTATATTTTCTACCTCAGTTTTATACTGAGACTGGACTCATTTTTGCTTCGACACTGAGACTGCTGCCAAAGTAAGTTCCATGGTCATATGAATTAGGTGCTTTTGATGGTTCATATAATATCTACTCACATTCCCACTTCTGATCACATACTTTACACTGCATTGGATTGGGTGGACACTGAGGTACATCTAAAGCATATCTACATTCAAATCTATATCTTTTTTTTATTGTAACTTTCTAAATATATCCCATTACACCAAAATTAAAACAAACTAACGGATGAATCTATAAAATTTGATTAATAACTAAATATATGAAATGGATTCTTATTATTAATATTTGACATAAAACCTATTTAGAAGTAAGAAGATGTTAATATATTTTATTAAACTAATATTTGTATAAATTAATAAAATATTATGATTTAATCACAATGGATTTAAAGAGTTTTTGTTTTTTTTTTCTGGAAAACATGAACCTTATGATGTGTTAAAATATTTCTTATTTCTCTCAGTCATATATTTTTTCTCGTGAGTAGAACTAATCCCTTATAATTCTTTAGAAGATTTGCACTATTTTATTTAAAATCATATTAAATAAAAACAACATATCTTTTTAAAAAAAAAAACAGAATCAGAAACAAATCTATTAAAAATTTTAATATCATTTTTTTACAAAATTCAAGTTAATTGCTTCTCAAATATAAAAAAGGTCTGCAAGAGTTAACAATGTTGATATTATTTTTAAGAAATCTTCATACACACTCACTTGGCATAAAACGAATGTGGAACAGCAGATTGTACAACAGATTTCTGGGCACAAAATA